AACCACAAAAGTCTCGCGCTCTCTCTCTCTCTCTCTCTCTCTCTCTCTCTCTCTCACACACACACACACACACACACACACACATCTAAACAAAAAGCCAGTCCTCCTCAGGGGAGACCCAAAATTCAATATGAAGCCTAGCAAATGACTATATCGTCGTTAGTGTCTATATAGATTCACATTTCTGAATCTGCTTAGCGTATATAATGCAATGGCGCAAGTAAGTAAATGCTTCCAAGTGGTGAGGGCCAAGTTTCTCGCTGTGGGTGAAAGCGGTTATACCTAGGGGACAAGGGAAGGCAGAAATGAGCCCTCCTCTTGTTGCATTGGCATTAGAAAGCTTTGCATGAGCTCCTGGGGTTATACATGTTATGCAGGCGGGCATCCGTGTACAGACGCATACTCGGTATCTTGTTCACCGAGAGGAGGTAGGCGCGGCTGCGATGAGCACTCTCAGTGCCTGCATCTTGGCATATCCTCTTTTAAAACGACCACGTTGTGCCTGTAAGCTTTCGTTTAGCTCTAGCATTTGTCACATCCAAATCCACGGCCTTGAGGAGGCTTACTTAATTCAGTTTTTTCCAAAAACGACTGCCACCAAGCCAATTCCAACTCATAGGCACCCTACGGAAGAGGCTGAGACTGTCCCTGTGGGTTTCTGAGAGTCCAAAAGCCTCATCTCTCTCCCATGAAGCAGCTGGTGCTTTTGAACTGCCGACCGACCATGTGGCTGGCAGTCCAGCATGAACCACTACACCTCCAGGGCTCTTCGGTTGTTTCAAAGAGCTCGGACTGTTCTTTAGACCCTGGACAGACATGAGTTTTCTAAGCACCACTTCTCATCTAACATGATTCAGGTTCCAAACACCAGGTCACTATACATAAATTTGTATTTCCTGAACAGAGCGGATCGCCACATCAGCTCACAACATCTTGGATGATTACATCGTTACCTACAAATGTCAGCATTACATGTTATGCACTCAGGTGTGTTCCTCCAAAAGATGTCTCAACTGTGCTGCCTAGAATTTTCCGTGTTAGGATCTTATCATTTTCCCACAGACGTTTCCAAGCCCCTTCGTATCCCCTCACGCTGTGATGCTAATAAGACAGGATGCATCTGCGGGCTTGGGTTGAATCTTCAGTCAGTCTCTTCAAATCCCAAACAAGTGATCTGACCAGCGAGCAGCGATCAAAGGCATCAACTGCTACCAAACTGGAGGTGGGGGTGGGGATGGGGGACCAGGAGTGGGCCCAGGGTTTCCTTTTGACCCAGGGTCCCTGTGCTGTGAAACAAACAGCCAGACCCAGGGGCAAGGTTACCACAAAAGCACACGGAGCTCGCCAAGGAATGCCTAGCCCACCGTGGCAGGAAGGAGACAAGGGCTGAGGGAACAGAAAGAGAGAGCCTGCCCCGAGAGCCAAAACCAGGACCCAAACTCACTGCCGCCGACTCCATTCAGACTCAGAGCACCCTCTAGGGCAACGTAGGGCTAACTGCCCCTGTGGGTTTCGGAGGCTGCAAATCTTTATGGATGCAAAAGCCTCATCTTTGTCCCATTGAGCCGCTGGTGGATTCGAACTGCTGACCTTGCCTTAGTCCATCAAGTAACCCCCTACGTCACCAGGACTCCTTTTGTCCAGTGCCTTGAATTTGAACTTCTAGCCTCCTAAACAGTGAGAAAGTTAATTTGTTCAAGCCATGCACTTGGGCTAGTTCTATTACAGCAACCCTAGATCACCAAGACATCGACTGATGTACCTTTTCTATCATTACGTAACTGCCAAGAATCCTGGTTAGTCGGCACTGCCAGCATCTCTGGGATAACGTCGGACATTAGGGGGGGGGTGTTAGTCAGCAAGCGAGGAGCTGGTGCATTATGTTCTCAGACATACTGCTGCTCCTCACCTGTGTTTGTGGAGGATGAAGGTCTATCTTCATGACTGTGGAACTATGGACCACAAAGAGGCCAGAGAACAGGAAGACATTCGTATGGTCAGGTGAATTTGCCCTGACCCAGAAAGGTGGTCTGCTTGTTTGGTCAGCAGGAGGCTCCGTCCCCCAGGTGAATGTCTGGATCGCGCTAAGGGGATGTCTGTACCCGTTGAACTGCCCCAGGTAACCGGCAGGGCTGCCTGGTTGTGGCTGGGTGGCTTCGGTTCACTAGATGGGGTCCAGGCTGGTATGCTTCCGTTTCTTGCAAGCTTTTCTCCGGGAGCGGTGCCTGGGCACCCTGGGTGGCAGGAGCGCGTTCTGTGTCAACACAGAGCCCCTGTTTGTTTTTCCTGTCACGCAGCTCTGAACTCAGTGTGTCATGCAGAAGCGACTGTAGAGACACGCTCACTGTCCTGTGACATTTCAAATGACGGGCGTTTCGCTGCAGTGAGTGTACTTCGAGGTTCTAAATGGGCTGTCAGCCCAGGGCCTTGGGCTAGTTGGTGACAAGCATGTGACCCCGCGGGAGCCCCCTAGCTCGGTGGTCAAGTTGGTGGAGCGGTATTTGCCCTTGAAGTGGTTTTTATTCAGAATGTTAAGTGTTTTTCATGTTGCATGTCCTTATGCGCTCATGCTGATTTAACTCAGGTACCTGTGTGAGGCAGGAAGGGTTAGACAGATGTGCTGTTTATAGAAGTCTCTCAGCCACCAGGGCAGCTCTGCCGTCAGAGCACCTCCTAGTGTTTACTGTGTGACAGACGTGGGGGGTGGCACCCCTCAAACTCACTGCCACGGGACCAGTTTGGACTCTCAGCGGCCCTATAGGATTGAGCAGAACTGCCCCTGTAGGTTTCCGAGACTAACTCTCAAAGGGACTGGAAAGCCTCGTCTTGCTCTCACAGAGCTGCTGGTGGTTTTGAACTGCTGACCTCTCTGTTCAGCCCAACACGTAACCACTACACCACCCCCAGGGTCTGTAAGTTCATTCTTGGCCTTTCCCTTTCCCTGGGAGGGAGGAAGGCTGTTCACCCCAGAAGCACTCAGAACTGCTCTCAGAAGTTTGACATTCTTCCCTCCAGTGGGAGTCCCTGTGTTGTCTAACCGTCGTGTTTTGAAGGCCTGGGCATCACTTTCCTAAGCTGAAAGCCGCCTCCTTACCTCTCCGGCTGTGAGAGTGATCGTCCTAAAGGCTCCACACCGGACCCCTCCCACGTCTGCCCTTGGCTGCAGGGCAGGGTCAGAGAACCTTCTTACAAGAGAACTGGGCAAGGTGTGTCTGTTCTAGGGCCCAACTCTGTGCCCTGGTGCATGGTGACCCTCGGTGGTGGGTTGGTGAGGGCAGTGGTTTCCTCTTCAACTGAATTCTAATTCTTGTTAGTACTAGACATAACGGGGGAGAGTGGCCCTGGGAGGGGGGAGGAGGGGTGTCAAAGCCTTAGCTTGATCTCTGCCATGATCACTAGGCTACTGTACCAGCAGGGATGCAGGGTGTGTGTGTGTGTGTCTGTCTACTGATAGAAAAAGAAATGAATCTATTTCGTGAGGGGAGGAAGGGGGAACCTATCGCAATGATCAAAACACATACACACTGAATAACAGAAACTGGGGAAGGGAAACAGCAGTCAGTGTACTATATCAAAATAATAATAATTTATAATTTACCCAGGGGTCACCAGGGGAGGAAAGGAGGAGGGAGGGTAAAAAGAGAAACACTGATACCAAGGGCTCAAATAGAAAGCAGATGTACAAATATGCTTTATACTGCTGATGTATGGATTGTTTATACGAGCTATAAGAGCCCCAATAAAATGTTTTTTTAACTAAAAAAGAAAGAAATGCAGCCAATGTTCCTTTGCAGTGAGGATGATGAGATGACTAACGTAACTGTGGGCACCTTATCGGTAGCCCAGCCCTTGGAAATGGGCATCCTGTTGGGTAGAGCCCGCGGACAGGAGGGCAGCCCTCCGTGAGGTGTACTGGCACGCGGAAGGCCACCGCGGGCGCCAGCACACGGTTGATCAGGAAGGTGGCCCAGGACCAGCAGCATCCTGTTACATGACATCACCATGCATCAAACGGAGGTGACTGGCCAGCAGTGAAAACATCGACACACACACACACACACACACACACACACACACACACACACACAATCATCATCATCATCATCTTGGAAACGAAGCTGCACAGCGTCCCAGCCAGGAAGTGAGCCTGAGGTGGAAGACAACTTCTGTTGGTTCTTAGAACTCGAAGCCCAGTCTCCCACCGTGCCGAGACTCGGCGTTTCTCTCTTAGCAACTGCATCCTAATATGTACCTTTCCGTGAATCCGTCATCTCAGACCGCAGGTCGGTCACTAACAGAGCCTTGGCCTCCAGGGCCCCTGGCTAAAGGAGGGTTGTACGTGGTAGAGAGAGGCTCTGATCCTGCCTCATGGGGCTGGACGGGTCGCTGGAAAAACAACCCCCCGGCCATCAGACAAGGGGTCATCTGACAAATGTGGGAGTGCATGGCGAAAGAGGTGCCGGGGTAGTACAGCCTACCCCCGCATGGTATGGCAGTGTGTTTTGTGCTTTTAATGAAGGTCTTCCCCAGTGCTATTACATTGTCTAGCTACAAACTTTTTTCTTTAATCTACTGATTGGCCTGTAGCTGTATTGATTGAATGCTACCAGTGAAAAAGTGTTGGCAGCCAGGCATGCCTGCCTGTGGTAGACAGACTCACATTTGCTATCTGAGACTCAGGGTGAAGGGGAGGGGTGAGCTTGGGTCAGAGGGCTTGGGGGTGTTCAGTTCGCTGAAGAAATTGTGTCAAGAAATCGCAGCTGCGCAAGGACTCGTGTCTTCACCGGGGGAGACGCGTTCAGTCGGAAATGAAACTTTTCTGCAAGTCTTTTGCTAAATATGTCTGCATGTACCTAGTCATTTGTCTCAAATGAACGATCAGACGTGGAGTGCATTGTCTGGGGGGGTGGGGGGGACTGTACCTTTCTGGGCTCTTATCTTACTGTTGCACCAGGACACTACTCACGCAGAGACCCCCGCCTTCCTCCTGTGTTTTACAGGCAGCCAGATGCCGCCGCAGCCCCCCGGCAGCCAGTCGGAGGCCAGCGTCCACCCCGCTATGAGCCAGTCTCCGATGCCCCAGGAGAGAGGTCAGTCTTCTGGTCCCGGCTGGGGACCTGCTGTGCTTTGTGTCCAGGAGCCGCCCCGTACGTGAATCGGCTCACTCGTCTCCTTGTGTCTTTTCAAAAGGCTGTGTGATGCTCCCTTAGCATGAAGGGCAGACACGTGAACCGACCACGCTTAACACACATGGAAAGGGAGGCTTCTGTCTTGCAGGTGGGGTGAAGTTTCACAGAGGCGCAGTTCAAGGCCCACAGACCAGGTGTGTCTGCGCAGGACCACAGGCGGGGTTTATGCCCCAGCCCAGGTGGTGAAGCCGTTAAGTGCTCTGCTGCCGGCGGGTGGAACCCACCAGCCGCACTGAGGAAGAAAGACCTGGTCATTGGCTCCTACAGAGACGTCCGTCCAGGAAACCCTGCAGGGGGCAGTTCTGCCGGGTCCCAGAAGGGCGCTTTGAGTCGGATCGACTGCCCGGCACACAGCCACAGTGTGGTGTGTGGTCAGGCCGGAGACAAACGGCCGTGCATGATGTCACTGGTGTAGTGGCCCTAGTGAAGTTCAGTGGTGGAGAGAGTATTCTTCGTGGCCCTGGTAAGGTACGGTGTTTGAGGAGCCGCTGTTTTGCTCTGTTGTCACATGACGGAGCGGGGTGTTGTGTCCAACTGGGGGACCCTGGAGCCGGAACAGATCTGGAAGGTCCCTGATTACAAGCACCTGTGCCGTGAAGCAGAGCGCTGACACGCAGCTCGCTCGTCCTCAGACTCGTGTTCACACCCCGGGACCTCACCCGTGCAGTTTCCCTGTGCAGAAACAAAGGGTGGGCCGGGAGGACACGCAGTTTCCCTATGCAGAAACAAAGGGTGGGCCGGGAGGACACGCAGTTTCC